ATTCTCACGTCGCTGATTGGCTGTTTCTGAAGGCACCGCCCACACGCCGCAATCAGATGTCATGGAAACGCTCACCTACCTGTCTAACTCTCTCGTCCTTCAGCTGTGGAGTCTGTGCAAAACGGACACTTCAACACGGTGTATGTGAATATGTGTGTCGTTGGAATGCTCCTTGATTTTATGAATCTGGCTTTCATGTCTCTTATGAGGTATGATGACCTGGATTTGAGCGAACATGAACTCAAGGTACTTCTGAAAGCACAATATTTGCGCCCTTTCTCTGTGTGTGTGTGTGTGTGTGTGTGTGTGTGTGCACGCATAGCTTTGTCACAGGCTGAAGGTTTCTAGCATTTTGTACTTGTTGTATTCCCTCTATCCAGAAGTACCACTCTAACACAGGAAGTATTCCTTCATCCAACATCCTGTTTCTTCTTCAGCCATCTTTCTTGTTTATCCTTTTTACCCTTTTTGAATTTGAATGCTACTACTGGTCATAGTAACAGCACTCGTGTTACCATGGAAATTAGTGTTCCATAGTAACGATGGAACATTCCCGTACAAACTTGTCATTTTCCCTCTAAAATGTCAGGCAGGTAGATGAGGAACATTAAGTGTAGCATAAAATCCATGGAGCATTTTAGGATTAAACGCGTTAAGTTAGTACAGTAGTGTTCAGCTGTAAGACACTATTTATTGCACTAATCATCGTTCTCTTTGATTTAGGGACATGTTAAAATATGGAAACTTGTTTCTGCCTTGCGATAAAAAAATAAAATAAAATAAAGTAATTGCAATTTTTTTAATCTCAAAATTCTGCCTTTTTTACTTGCAATTGCAAGTTATAAACTCATAATTGCAAATTTCCATATTGCAATTCTGACTTTTTTCCCCAGAATTCTGAGTTTGCATTAATTCTGACTTTTTTCCTCCTAATTCTGAGTTTACATCTCGCAATTCTGTTTGTTTTTTTCCGCTGTAGAATAAAAATGGTAATTGCGACTTTTTATCTCACAATTCTGACTTTTTCCTCAGAATTGCATGGAAAAAGACAGAATTGTGAGATATAAACTCAGAACTGAGGGGAAAAAAGTCAGAATTGAGAGATTAAAAATTTGCAGTTACCTTTTTTTTTTTATTTTTTTTTATCCCATGGCTGAAACAAACTTTCATTTTAAAGTGATGCTTATCCCCAAAATTGTCAGCATTTACAACATTTACTGATGTCTTTCCAAAACTCAAATCAATTACTTTCTGCTGTGGAACAGAAAATGAGATGTTTAGCAGAATGTTGATGCTGCTGTTTCTATACACTGGAAGTGAATCAGGACTGGGGTTCCAACAAAGCATCATAAAATTAGTCCATACGGCTTGTGCACTATTATTACAACTCTTCTGAATCTGTATAATAGCTTCTAAAACCAAAAATGGCAAAAACGAACAATAAAAGTAGTTTTTAAGACCCATTCTTGATATTAATTGTGCAATATTCAACAAAATTAACTTGTTTCTTCTCATTAGCATGTTCGCATGATCTAACTTGCCAGTTTGCAGTTGGTTATGTGACAACCAGTGGTATTTTTTACTGATGTCAAACCTGGCGAATAGACCTTAGTCAGGGTAGTGCCATATTTAATTTTAATTTTTGACAGGAATGAAAATGAAGCAGTGAGGGACCGATTCCTCAGCGGAAGAAAGGTCTTTTTGAGGAAAAAAAAAACGTTCTTAAGAGAAAACTCCATAAAAGTTTCTGAAAGTGCGTAAGTTTATTGTTTATTTCAATATGGCGCCTAATCTGACTAAGGTCATTATATGCAAATGAGATTTGAGAGTTGGAGGTCGGGAGCTTTAACATTTCGGTCTTTTCCTGACAAAGCTATGGTATGGCTTAAGATGACTTTGGAATATTAATTTTTCTGTATTTAACAGGTTTGGAGCGATGTAAGTAAGTGGTGACAGAAATGTCGTTTTGGGTGCACTGTTTCTTTAAATAGTTATATTTCTTATATTTCAAAACGCCTTCAGATTTGGCGCGTAAGGGTGAAGCTGGATGTTTTAAGTTTACGCGCGTCACATTATTAACGTCACATTGGCCAATGAGAAGAGAGAATTCCAAGCTGTTTACAAACATAACTGACCAGCGCTGTTTATGTTTTACTTTAGTTCTTTCTTTTCATCTTGACTCTCTCCTCACATTTTCTCTTTTTCACTCGGCTGTCACATTTCTCTCAGTCGTTCTCCCTCGTTCATTGTCTTGCCGAGTTCTCTGTTCCTTGCACTGAATTGCACAGTCTGTGTGTGTTCGTGATCTGACGGTACGAACGGCGTGTGCGAGTGTTTGCATTACATTTGCTTTACTTTCACTTTTAAATGGCTGATTCGTGCCTGTGTAAAGCACGGATTTCATATAATTTCAATTTCAAATAATTTCATTCCCATTCATAAGATTTTCCCTGCTGAAAAAACAGCATATGCTGGTTAGGTATATTTTGAAGCATGGCTGCTGGTTTAAGCTGGTTTGAGCTGGTTTAAGTTGGTCCTTAGCTGGTTTAAGCTGGTCATGTACTGGTCCTAAGCTGGTCCTGAGCAGGAGCTAGCTGCTTAGGGCCAGCACATGACCAGCTTAAACCAGCTCAAACCAGCTTAAACCAGCTTAAACCAGCAGCCATGCTTCAAAATATACCTAACCAGCATATGCTGTTTTTTTTTCAGCAGGATTGTAGCTGATTTTCCTCATTTAATGTAAAAATCAAACAGGGTGTGAAATGTAAGAGCTGTTTGTATGACATCGTTGTTGTGTGTGACATAATTTTTGTGTCATTTATTTGGAAAGATTATAATTTCTCAATTTCGTCTGACGACGATTATAATTTCTCATCGGGGAACTGAGGGAGTTCTATTTTCTTTTTGTTAATTATTTTTCCTTCATTTACCATAAAAACTTGCTGTGAGTCAAGGGTGAATCTCGCGAAATATGTCAAGAATATGTCGTGAGATTCATCCCGGAAAGATTTAAAGTCATTTTTGATTCGAGTTATTGCTCTTATGTGTCCTTAACATCTATTGACACTTCAGGGAGTCACACGTTTTGCCGAGATCGCGGTTCAGTTTAACCACCATGTAAAATCACACGCACTGTTTTCTTGATCTTCAGACGTTGAAGACAATGTAAAGTTCAACACGCTTCTAATGATCAAACCCTAAAACTGTAAATAACTGTAAATGACTTTGAGATCTGTTTTTCTATGTGCTTTTTCTAAAACTTGCTTTACTTCAGTAGTTCCGTAATGAAGTATTATTCTCTCTCTATATACAAAGTTGAGCTCAAACATCTGTATTTTTCATACAAGAATCTTCTGCCACTAATATGGAAACTGACGTAAGTCTTAATGCTGACTGGTAGTTTCAGCCCAGAGATGAATGAAATATTACAATAAAGATCTATGCTGTATCTCATGCAAGAGATATGCATCTTCTGGTCATTTAAATTGCATGTTAAAGTTGTTTCTTGTTTATTTATTTTTTATGCTTATGGTGAACTCTAAGGGAAATGGTGATGGAAAATTGTAAGATGGGAGTAAAAAAATTACATTGCAGTGCTTTTGTGTTCACTCAAAAAAAAACTGGTCATGGAAAACTGATAAATATTTTGAGATGGGTGGAAAAACCATATTTTAATGCTTTTGCGAGTGAATGCAAAGTTTCTTGGGGGAATGCAATATAATTTTACAGCAAGAATTAAACTTTTAGTAATTGCCATAAAAATATAACAATGCAAAGCTTAATATATATATTTGCCATATACACCAGTGTTTTTTAGGATCATTGAGCTATTACATTTTTATTAATATATATATTTTTTCTTTATTAGTAATTAACTTGTGTTTTTGCCATTTTTTAACATTTAAATATGTCTATGTTTAAATATGTTTCTTTTTATTTCATTTTTAGTTGTTTTTAAGTTAAACTAAGTGAAAATAAGAAATGCTTTCTTGGAAACATGGAAAAAATATTTTTATATTTTATTTCAGTTAATGTTTATTATATTTCAAGCAACACATTTCAAAAAAATATATAATAACCCTGACATACACCAACACACCTTCAAAGACATTTATCAATGTTTGACAAAACTGTGTCAAAGTACAGTCATAATTAATAATTAATAGCCCAGTCTATATATGTAGAAATGTAATCAACAAACACTACACATCACTTCCTCATTCTCTGGAACATCAGGTGACACTATCAAACCAAAGCAACATCCAATCACAGGCCTCCAAAAGCAGGAAATGTCCTTTTCAGTCAGTTTCCTGTGCTGCATCAGGTGATTGGCTGTGAGTGAGTGATTGACAGCTGGGGTGACTCCGGTCAGAACGGGTTCCCACCTGATTGACCTGATTCGTTGGAGTCACCGACACAGTGAGGATGAGAACTCACTGTGATTGGCTGAGATTGATCACATGGTGTCAGAACGAGCTGTCGGAAAATAACAATTCCTGCGTTTGATGTGACCAATGAGAGGAGAGAACTGAAATGTACATGGAAGTAGAACAGGAAGAGACAGGAAGTAGTCGTGGTGGTAAAAGACTTAAACATATTCAAGCATTTATTGTGCATAACAGTCGTTCAAACTTTCTGAGTTCTGGAGGACATTTAATCTACAGCTAAAAGTTTGTTGTGAGATACTGTAAGTACATTCACACGGCTTTTACGGGTGAGGCTAATGTATACTAATATGTTGTGTATTAGTGTTTGACATCTATTTGTGATACATTTGTGTTTTCATGCGAGTTTCTTTAATGAGGCTGGAAGCTTTTAGCCAGATCCTCCATGACGCTCATGAATTTCTGATCTTCCAGCTGTGAACTGTGCGTCCAGGCCAAGGGAAGATGAGCCGACACCATCTGCCGATCTAATGCATGTAAAACATAAAGACAAAAGGATGTTTAACACATGACATCTGCCCAAATTCACCTGGAGAAATGATTCCTATTGCCTGAAGAATCGATATATACTGTATGTATACAGAGAGCAGGTTAATTGATTATATATGCCTCTGTAGAAGCCATATGTCTGATTTCTCCCAAATTCAGAAGAACTGCATTACCCATCATCCTGAAGCAAAATGCACCAATCAGAGAAGTCACTGTTACCATGGAAATGAGAATCAAGGCCACAACAGTGAGTGTTTGCAGTCGCAAGTAACTTCTAATGGTTACGTAATCTGAATATTTCTGAGATTTAAATATGTGGCTAACATATTTTTCAAAAAAAAAAAAATATATATATATATATTACAGTTATTAAACTGTACTTTGTGAGAACAAAGAGAGCTTAAGGCAACACACTACAGGCAAAACCTTTTTCTTTTTTTTTTCCAGGCACTGGTTAATTTTGAGATTAGACTAGTGGAAATAAAACATCAAAAATACACATTTGTTTATTTTATTACACTTTATTTGCGTCTGTAGATTCCACCTATAATGCGCATCTTTAAAGGCCATTTTCTCAAAATCAATTTTTTTCTCCACTTTAGTATTATTTACATACACAAAAGAATTTACAGTTTTATCTATTTTCTGAAGGTTTTTACAAAGGGGGTTGTTCATATATAATTCACCTGATTTGTGAACATTAATGTTTAAATTTTTTTTTGTCTGTTGACAGTATTTTCTGGTTTATGTAGTGATTATAGATCTCGAAAATCCCATCAGTAAAAACCTTTACCTCTAATATGTCATTAAAATGAAACAGGAATTTTGAACCTGGCTTTATCCAATGTTCAGATTTCTGTTCTGGACATTTATGCAAATTAGTGCATTTTTATTATCTAATGCCTCATTAGCATGTTTACATTTCATAAAACTTGTAATACAAAACAATTTTCCTGATGTACTGTGATTAATCAACTTGAGAAAACTCTGAAGATCTCTATTATTATTAGTTCCTTTTTACTCTATTCACCAGTAGTCTTGCCTTGAAGTCTGAGTAGTGGCTGTTTGGTTTTCCCAGTCCCAAAAGGTCATAAGGTCACTGTGAGTTCACTCCGGCCGTGTCTGGCACAGAAGCTCCGCCCACTACAGCTGCACTGGAGCTCCGCCAACTCTCTTTTCCCTTTCTTGATCTTTCTCGCTCTTTCTTTCTTTCATCCTCCTTTTGCTATGCTCTGATTCTCTCTTTCATTTTCATTGTCCAGTCTTTCTTTGTACACTGATTGTATTCTCCTCGTCTTCTCTCTACTGCTCATGCTTTTCTTGCTTTCATCAGTGTCTTTCATCCATTCTTTGTCTCCTGAAAGGCTCACTTGTTTCATATGGAAACAGATGGATGCCTTATTGGAGGAGATGGAGAGAAAGACAGCAGCTCGGTTCCAAAACCTAGTGCGCTCCCTCATTGCCCACTGCCTACATAGGCAGCTGCCTTCTAAGGGAGCATCCTAACTGACATGGTGCCTCATAAGGGACTGGTTTGGAACACTCTACACAGGCAGCAATTTTGTGCACCACAGGAAAATCAACACATAATTGATTCCAATTTGACTTTTGCATGTTGCTATGCTCATGCAGAAACTATGGAAGACTTTTTATCCCAATTGCGAGTTTATATCTCACAATTGCAAGTTATAAAGTCGTAATTGCGAGTTTACATCTCAATACTATGACTTTTTTCCTCATAATTTTGAGTTTACATCTCACAATTCGGACTTTTTTCACTCATAATTCGGAGTTTGTTTACATGACATCAAGTAGGCATCTTGCAGTAATTCCGAGTTCACATCTCCCAATTCTGACTTTAAAAATTCGGGCAAAAACATTGTGAGATGTAAACTCCATCTACTGAGAAAAAAAGAGATTCAAATTGCAAGATGTAAACTCAAAGTCAGAACTTTGAGAAAATAGTTTATATTTTGTAATTGTGAGATACAAACTTGAAATTCTGGAAATAAACGTTCATAGCATAGTCTAAGATGCATAACATGCACAAATATTGTGTAATTTCTAATTACACAGATGTTTTTATTCAGATTTATTTTTATTCAGCCAAGCAACTTGTCTCAATGCATTCTGAGATTGCTATCTTTGCAAAAGATGCAATGCTGCCTTAATATTTAACAAAAAAAGTGAACAATACCTAAAAACATCGATTCAAAAGTTGCTTAATCTAATTTTAAAAATGCATGCATTTTTATGCATATTAGAGCATTACTTTAGAAACATGTTAATGTAGCTCTCTTGCAATCAGTTGTGGCTCCCGTGTGCTTCAACAGTAGTAGTGCTGTTTGTGTGGCACATGGAGTTGCATTCTGTCACTCATGAGATTTCATTTGCTGCCTATGTGTGGGTGTGTGTTTGCTCACCCTGAAAAAAACGCCCACTGGGATTCTTGCCAGCCGCCTCGGACACAGCGAGCCACACGACCGTATCGGCCCCTTGCTCCGGTGTCCGCAAACGCTCCTTCATAGAGCTGTGGAAATCAGGCATCGCGTTTGCAATGGCTAAAGAACGAGAGGCGAGAATGAATCCATCAAGATCAGACATCATCAAATCAGTCTGAGTAAATGATAAATAAATATCTGCATTTATGCATTTGGCAGACACTTATATCCAAAGCGACCAATGCATTCAAGGTATATAACACTGAACATGCAATTTGACAAATTAACAACAGCAAGCTTGAAGGTAAAAATGGATATGTCTGGCGGAAACGGCATGTTTTAGGTGATGTAACTATTTCTTTCAATTTTAATCACATTTTTGCAGTTCACCCAATTTTTAAAAGGAAAAATATTCCATGTAGCATTTTGAAAATGCATCTATAATCATTCATGCACGGTTTAAATTTATGACGATTGTGTGTGTGCAATTACTTGGCGTGTCGACCCATCCGGGGTGCATCACAGAGAAGTGGATGCTGGGGTGAGCTTTAGCAAACTGCTCCGTCATCACCACCTGCTGCCTCTGAAACACACAGAAAAAAGTACATAGAAGTCACTTCTGACATCACAAGAATAAGTAACAAACAGCTACTGAAGTCAGTGAGACAGAAAAGTCATGCATATTTTTTTTTTTTAAGTAATTTTTTACTAACATTCAAAAGATTGGGGTCAGTAAGATTTTTTTGAGGACAGAAATTAATACTTTTATTCAGCAAGTATGCATTAAATTGATCAAACGTGACAGTTAAGACTTTTATGATGTTATTTCTATTCATTAAAGAATTCTTACAAAAAATGTATCACGGTTTCCACAAAAATATGAAGCAGCACAACTGTTTTCAACATTGATAATAATAATAAAATGTTTCTTGAGCAGCAAATCAGCATATTAGAATGATTTCTGAAGATCATGTGACACTGAAGACTGGAGCAATGATGCTGAAAATTCAGCTTTGATCACAGGAATAAATTACATTTTAAATTTATATTCACATAGAAAACAGTTATTTTAAATTATAATATTTCACAATATTCCTGTTTTTGACTATTTTTAATCAAATAAATGCAGCCTTGGTGAGCAGAAGAGACTTCATTCATAACAAAAATCTTACCAATCAATCCCTAAACTGGGACTCGATTTTCAAAATGTAGTTAAAATGCACTAAACTGCAGTACTCAAGTAATCAAACAATGACCTCTATAACATAAATGATTAAACTTGCAAATGGCATCAAAGCAAAGTGTTTCTGTATGTTGGACTCTCTATGTGTCCATATGTACCTTGTTCTGTGCGTACACCATAGTGCCGTCATATCTGCCCCTCTGAGACTGCAGGTTTCCCGTTCGCAGTTTCTGCACCAGCATCCCACCGGATGATACTGTGATCTGAAAGAGAGGAGAGATATGGTGACCATCTGACCTCCGTCTGTCACTCTCAGTCTCTGGTTTAGAATCAGAATCAGAATGAGCTTTATTGCCAGGTATGTTTACACACAGTTCACTGTCTGTATTTTGGCAGTTTACTCACCACTCTGGAGTCAGGGCTCTTCTCCAGCAGAGGAATGAGGCTCTTGATGAGGATGTACATGGCTGAGAAACACAACAGAGACATCAGGTGAAATCTAAGGTATTAAAGATGTTATTTATTATAAAGTTAGTAGGAAAGACTTTTAGTCCTGAGGCGATATCGAGCTGGTTTTGTTTGCTCACTTACCCAGAGAGTTACTTGCAAAGCTTTTCTCCAAACCCTCACCATTCACCTCCCTCTTAGTCATCATACAGCCGGCGTTATTGATCTGTCAAATCAATCAACCAACCACATTCTCATTACTTCCATTAGCTGGTAATGCCATTCAAAATATAGGTGCACTACCATTCAAGTTTGGGGTCAGTAAGATTCTTTTCATGTTTTTGAAAGAATTCTCTTAAACTCACCAAGGCTGCATTTATTTGATCAAAAACACAGTGAAAATATTACACTTTAAAATAGCTGTTTTCAATGTGAATATATTGTAAAATGTAATTTATTTCTGTGATCAAAGCTGAATTTTCAGCATCATTACTCCAGTCTTCAGTGTCACATGATCTTCAGAAATCATTCTAATATGCTGATTTGCTGCTCGAGAAACATTTCTGATTATTATCAATGTTGTGCTGCTTCACATTTTTGTGGAAACCGTGACACATTTTTTTCAGGATTCTTTGATGAATAGAAAGCGTTTATTTGGAATAGAAATCTTTGGTAACATTATAAATGTCTTTACTGTCACTTTTGATCAGTTTAATGTTCTTGCTGAATAAAAGCATACATTTCTAAATTTAAAAAAAAACTTTCTGAACCCAAACTTTTGAACAGTAGTGTATATGCAATTTTAAAGCCTCACCAGGACATTGAGGGCTTTGTACTTTTTCTTGAAAGACTCTGCAAACTCCCACACCTTCTTGGTTTCGGACAGATCCAAAATATGCACGAAGATCTCCTGCAGCCAAACACAGAGGCCAAAGGTCACGTATTTTACTAGAACATCTTGCTTTAGAAACAGTTGCAGATGTAAATCTGTTTTCAGACAGCGTGTAGATAAATATATGGGTCATTTCAATGATTCAGTGGACTTCTGTAAAAACGGTAACTTATTTGCAAACTACTACATTATTCTTCATTAAGCAGCTGCGTTCTCATTTCTACTGCAGGTTCAGTTCTCCTGGTGTGACCTGAGGTTAAATGACTTGCTCAGAGTGCTACAGTGGTGGAAGCTTCTCCAGCCAGCTGTGTTACAATCAGCGCCTTTAACTATTAAACTGCAGGCTAACAATCCCAATCTTACTTTGTTTCCAGAGTCCTTGACGATCTCCGCTCTGGCTTCTTCCGCCTTGTCCTTGTTCCTGCAGACCATGTGGATCGTACCACCTTGAAGAAGAGGGTTAACTGGTTAAACTGCAGCACAAAAAGTGTTTGGAGACTTAAATAACACTGTCTGAATGTCATTGCTTTAGATAAATGCATAAATGCAGATAAATAAAATGCATAAATGCAGAGCAAAAGTAAAGCTACAACAAAGAAAATCAAAGGACTAGCATAATTTGTTTGCAGATTCTGGGTTTTGTTATCATTAATGCAATGACATTTGAAAAATGTTCTGTGTCCAAATACTTTTTAGAGCAACTGTATTCACATAAACGCATGGAAAGCATTTGAAGAACCTAAATACACCATGAACCACAAGGTCAGTTTCTATTTGACCAACCACTGCTGTTTTTCTCCAACACGCACCTTTCTTGGCGATGGCCATGGCAGTGGCTTTCCCGATCCCGCGGACACACCTTCCAAAAAGTTCAACTTTTGTCTCGTCAGTAGAGTATTTTCCCAAAAGTCTTGGGGATCATCAAGATGTTTTCTGGCAAAACTGAGACGGTTCTAAGAATGTTTTATTAATGGTCCCATTAAATAATGAAAATGTTATTTCTGAAAGTTCTCTGAACAGTTAAAACGTCCAGTTGTTTTATTTCTTGGGAGCATTTTGAGAATGAGAATGTACCCTGAACGTTCTGAAACAAGTAGCAACATTTAAAAATGTTAGATGAACATCCAACTAAAACGTTTCTGAAAAAACATTCCATGAATGATATAATGTTTTTGTGCTGACGTTTTGAGAATGTTATTAAAGCCCAGATAGCTTTGAATGAACGTTCTATTAACGTTAATGGAAGAACGTTTGTTTATAACTTTGAGAAAACCTTGCCAGAATGCGAGGGAAATTTCATTAAAGGGTTAGTTCACCCATAAATTACTCACCCTCAAGTCATCCTAGGTGTATATGACTTTCTTCTTTCAGACGAATCCAGTCAGAGTTATATAAAAATTTGTCTTTGATCTTTCGAGCTGTATCATGGCACTCAGCGGGTGTTGCATGCATCATTCAAAAACAAGTTAAATAACAAATGCCCATCCATAAAAAAAAAGTGTCTCACAGGGCTCCAAGGGATGAACAAAGGCCTTCTGTAGCGAATCGATGCGTTTTTGTAAGAAAGATAACCATATTCAAAACGTAATAATCACTTCAATGTAGCTTGCTCTCACTGTTGTACACGGAAGCAGTTCCGAGTGGATGACGTATTGAGGTCGGCGTTGCGCATGCGCCGCTCAGAAGTGACGCACGCAGAATGGATGGGCACTTGTTATTTAACTTGTTTTTGAATGATGCATGCAACACCTGCTGAGTGCCATGAAACTGCTTGAAAGATCAAAGACAATTTTTTTATATAACTCCGACTGGATTCGTCTGAAAGAAGAAAGTCATATACACCTAGGATGACTTGAGGGTGAGTAATTTATGGGCTAATTTTCATTTTTTGGGTGAACTAACCCTTTAAGTGGAACATTCCATTTTAGCAGTTTGCAAACATGGAAATAAATGTCCAAGAACGTTCAGAGAACATTCAAAAGTAACAAGTAGCAACATTTTAAAAGAGAAACGTCCAACTGAAACATTTCTGGAAAAAAAAAACATTCCATTAATGATGTACAGATAATGTTTTGTGCTGATTTGAGAACATTATTAAACACCAGATAACTTTGAACATGAGTTCTGTTAACGTTGCAAGAATGTTTGTTCATAATGTTAAGAGAACCTTGCCAGAATGTTAGGGAAGTTCTGAAAACGTTTCCTGTTAGCTGGGAATGTGTTTCTGTGTTGATTTTTGTATGCTTTTGTAAAATTAAGGTTCTGTATTCATTTGCCACTTAAAGTCCTGAAGTGAAACCACTCGAGAAGTCCTGTCCTAATGTGCCACCTTGCGTCATCGCTTAGCTAATGAGAGCGAACTATCAGTGCGTCCTCTGATAGCACTGCTCCTGGCATCGGCGGCGCTCGTGCCCTTGACCCGTTCTCAAAGGCTGGCTTTGTCCACGCGTGTCAGGCCAGGCGGAGGGATGAGGAGGTGCCGGGGGGAATCAAGCTTTTCTCGGTAAATGCGTGCACTGTTAAGGGTGATGTGTGTCCCATTATGGGACGTGAGAGGTTGACCCGGGTGACAATGTATTAGGAGGAAAAAACAGATGCAGGGGCCACTGCAAGATAAACAGCAGCAGTGAGATGACACGTTTTGAGTGTTTTTCTGACTCCCAAGAATTTATAGGCTTTTTATAAAACTGGACTTCATGGAAAACGAAAAGCAACATGTGACCCTGAGTTCGCAGAATGTGTTAAAAATAACACTTTTTGTGTTTTTTTTTAACATATTCGGTGCACCATTTATTATATCACCGTATTATGCTGTCTAAAAAATAAAGTTAGTTTTGCAAATGTAAGAAACTGACTTTGAAAGCTTTTACCCTTGCCATGATTTATGTTGTCACTGTTTATGATGTGCAACACTTTTTTTTTGCATCATTTTGAAGAAAAACGGATGAATATGTTTTGAAGTAAAAAGCAAACATTAAGAAATGTTTTCCCTTATGATTGAAGAATTATTGCATCATATGGTTAAAAATCCAAGTAGGCCAACAGACAAATGCTGGACATGTCCAAATATTTTGATAAATTACACTCTAAAAAATGCTGGGTCGTTTCAACCAAACTTTGGGTCAAATATGGACTAACCCAACTTTAGCGTTAAAATTTTAATTAAAAAATTTAACCCAACTGCTTAATTAGTCCATATTTTACCCAAAGTTGGGTTGAAACAACCCAGCATTTTTTAGAGTGTAAAATTTAAATTTAAGGTCAAAACTATTTGTTATTTGTTTCTCAGTGCCCATTATACAAAAACTCCTATTAATAAAGACAACCTAATAAACACAGAAATAATAATAAAATTACAAAAAATGCATTAAATACATTTTATAAAATAAGAGATAAACAGTTGTAGTAGAATAAGTGAAATCTGACCCATGCAATAGGCTATTTAACATCATAATTATAGATGTTAAATATTAAATGAAATATTGCATGAGAATTTATGTAACGTTATATTATATTAGCCTATGTTATATTAGTAGTAGCCAATTATATTACATCATATTATGTATTTGAATGTGTATTAATTAAGCATTATGTTTGTTAATATTGTAATAAGGTGTTGTGAGATTTCTGAAGCAGTGCAGCTCTTACTTGGTGAATTCGGTGAGTCCTTTGAGGAACCATGCTGAGTTCCGGTACAGAGACATTCTCACACCCGCGCTGTCGCTCAGGTCGCCCGCTGTGCTCGCGGATGCTCGCCGGTGCTTTTAACCGGCTCCGGGGTCACATGAGTGCACGTAGATCCACGCCACTCTCCGCTGCCCAACGCTTTCTGCCCTCTACCGGTAATCAACGAAATAACACGCCTCTGACTGTCAGACCTCTGATGTTTCAAAGCAATACGTTTGTAGTTGACAGTTTGATAATAGCTAACAAAATATAAGATCAACTATTTCCCTGATAGCACAGCACGTGCATCACGGAGATGTCTATTTGACATCTGCATTTACATCTGCAAGACGTCTTTTTTAGAGTGCTTGCTCATCTGCAATACGTCTATAGGATGTTTCCTATCAGATGTCAAATAGGCGTTTAGAAGATGTCTTTAAGATGTTTATGATTTACAGTGTATGTAAAACTGACATCTTAAAGACGTCTATCAGATGTTTGTTCACAGCAGATGCTTTCCAGATGAAGCGATCTTTAACAGACATCTTGCAGACGTACGTGTGTGTTATCTGGGAGGCCTATAATTAATAGCAATTATATATATAATATAGGCTTAGACTATCATCAAATTCAATATGGCGTCTTTTCAGACTTTAGCGCATGATTTAAAGATCGTATGTGTTATTAAACAAGCCTGTAACCGTCTAAATCATTAGAGAGATTAAAAAAAGACAATTTTCAGCAATTTCAGCTAATGTACCATCAAAATGATTTAATAACTTTATAACTGTTATAGCCCCACCTATTGCATGATCTCCATAAAAGTTTGCATGTAGTGTTTGTTCAGAATCATATTGCATGCCTACCTAATTTTGGCTCATTTCGCAAATTTCTGAGGTTTCGTTTAGGAATTATAGGCTTTTTGTTAAACTTGATCACACCAATATTCTAAATGACCCTGTTACAGTCATCCACATACTCAAGTTTTTTGATAATTATTGATCTTGGGAGTCCAGAGATTTGTACTGGGTTTGTCGAGGTTGATGGGAAAAACACCGGGTAGTTCACTAAAGTTGTTCGTTTGTTTAATAATCTCAAATAATTAAAGAGCGATTTGATTGACAGCAGTGGTTCATGAGGCAAAGTTGTCCAGAATGAGGAGATCTAGCCTATGTGTGAAACGTCGCATGATATGCAGTTATTTATTATGCTTTTGTATAGGGTAGTCTAATGATAATAATAGGCCTACTGCAGAATAATAACCACAGAATCGCGGTAATAAAACATAGACCCATATAAAACATTTTTACTGTTTAATACGTTGATAATCTTTAGATGCTATTGTTTTTGTATGGCTGGGTCACAAGGGGGTTAGTCATAACGAACAAATAATTAGGCTATCAAATCGTATTTTAAAAATATCTCAGGAGAATTTACTGGAGCGGAAAGGATGTCCTCGCTGCACCTGACCAGGTAAAGCCAGCGCAGATCTCGGCCCCGCCCCTGCTGTCCGTACGCGCCTGTGATTGGTTCACACCTGTGCGCGAGCAGTAACACAACAACGCCGGGGCGAGGTGAGACTGTCCCGACTGAGCTGCTGGGACGCGCCCTTATCAGCTGGACATGAACCCGTGCGGCGCTCCACGCAGGCTCGTTTAGGATCTGTGGGAGTCTCAGGATGGTGAGGTTCACGAGTGTGCAACTGCTGTCTTCTTGTTAATGTTGCTGCCTTTTTCTTGCATTAACAATCACAAACAGGTCCAAACTATTAAGATACGAATCCGAGTGTCAGTCGGAGGTCAGATAGAGCTTTGTTTTTTTGTGTTTTCTCTTCTGTATAGCTGTTTGTCTGGGATCTGTCCTTATATTTGACACTTTGTAGTGTTTTACTGCACGCACACACACACACACACGCTGTTCTTGTGCTGATAAGAGGGACATTTGTATTTCCTCTTGTATCACAAATACAAAGGTGCGTTTGTTGTTTTTATCTCTTTTCTTGGTTAAAAACATAAATTTGCAGTTTCATGTTCACATTACTAGTGAGAAACGCATGGCTGTGTCTATGTAAACTATATTTAATTTTAAGAGCGTATTAAAGGTAAAATGGTTCATGTTGTAATTTTTTAGTCTAAAAAAAACATAGGGCTTTATTTAGTTATGAGTTATGGCAGATGCA